TAATATGTTTAGAAAAATACATCACCAATGAGTGAATGCCACCTACGCGGTGGGCATATTAACATGTGTCCACCGTGGGTAGGTGAGCATTTCTCATAGAACTATAACATTACTCTTTATTTAGATGGATTGTTTTTATTTAGATGAATTAGTAACCCGTACTTCTATTAGCTCCTTTCGTGGTGGGGCTCTCTTGTACTTCATATGGACATGAATGCAGTTTGATTTTGTATTGACGTTCGTGATTGAATGAGTGGCAATACTCTGTTATTTATATTTGCGGAATTATAATAGCTCGTTCGAACCTCCTTTAGAGCATCTACAATGTTTTGAGTCTCTTTTTGCATATGTGGCAAATAAATAGACTTAAGTCCATAATGACATGGACAAACCCAAGCTAAAAAATTCAAAATCTATCCAATGCAAAAATAAAATACTAGGTCTAGCATACATGACAACCAATAAAAATGCTCTAATATATTTTATTTATTAAAAGAAAAATTATATGAGGAATAAATTATGAGTGCTTGGGTTTGTACATGGGTCTAAAATAGACCCAAGTGTGGACTATGTCTTATTTTTTTATTGCCACATAAGCTAGACTAGGTCCACTTTTAATTGCATTGGGAAACACTTTTTATAGACTAGTTCTGTTTCCTACATTGCATGTAATTTTTGTCTAGCAGACCCAAAGCATTGTGGGTGCTCTTAGTAGCTCGCTCACTTTCAAATAATCGAGCTTTTTTACCTGAACTCATCGTAATCATCATATGAGCTTTATAGCTTGTGTATTAATGATCACTTAATTAAATAACGTCCGAGCTCTTGGTACTTAGTGATTCTATTCTTTTAAACATTTCAATTACCCAAATTTTCATATCGGAATTTTTATAATATTCATTCACATCGCCTGAGCTCCAAAGGGTCGGGCTTAAGTCGTTATATCTCAACAACGCTGAGATCAAAGTGTTCGGCCTTGCGCCATTACACTTCTTTAACAATATCTGAGCTTCAAGAGCTCGGTCTTAAGCTATTACACTTTTTTAACAGCACCGGAACTCGACTTTAAGTCGTTGCAGCTCTTAACAACATCCGACCTCCAAAATCTCGCCTCCAAGAGCACGGACAGCAACGTGTGATTGAGTTTCAAGGTTGCCTCGTGTGGCCTCAAGAATTTTGTTGTTTATCCTTACACGTTTTTCGATCGTTTTGGTGGGGTGCGTGCTCGGAGAGCTCTCGATTGTGATCCCTAAGAGTCTTAGGCTTGTATTAGGCATGTGGTACTCTCTAATCAAAAAAGAAGATGTGTATTTATAGACTGCAACACGGACCCTAAAAACGTGCTAAATATGTGATTCTCAAGTGACAATGCAACTAGTGGGTCTGACACAACTTTGTGCTCACACTTGAATAATATACAGTCCACTAAAGAAATATTAGTGCACTCCTCATTTACCTCTTAGATTTACTCCATCTATCTCTCCGTGTCTGATATATATTTCGTCAATTAATTTAATAATTTATAATATAATTAATTGACTTTTTGAACAGGGACTAGTACCACTCAATTCTTTATTATTATGAATCAAGTTGTCCACCTGCAGGATTTAACATAATAATTCTTTTTGAACTCATCTCGTGAACATCATCAGACTAACGCACACGGTGACCGTAAATATTCAATCAACATGCACACCATACATACAACATCACTACCCAAAACACTTAGACTATTGACCCAAAGAATGGTTCTCACTTTTTAGTTAATCAGAGTAGCAACTATTGTATGTATGTGTCTGTTTATAAGGTCTAGTTTGTTTACTAAGGCCTAGTAGAGCTACAGGTTAAAAGCACGCATTAATTAACTAAGGTCTAGTTCGTTTACTTAATCAATATAAGAAACTTCCTTTCTAGGATCCATCCAGTACCCAAAGTGTACTAGTGCAATCAATCAGTCAAGACAAACTGTACAATTAACTACAACCGTTCATGAAGGGTTGTTCATGTCCATCTAGGTTGTGAACTAATAATTTATGTTTTACACGTAACCAATATTGTGATCTTCTGTCCATTTGTGATGAACCACAATATCTAAATGTAAAACATCAGAACGTAGAAAGGTTTAATTGAACATGACCTCATTCAACAGGAAAATAATATTTATTATGCAAAAAGTCAAGCTTTAAGTATACACTAACACCAACTACATGCAAGACGATACGTTTCGCTGCACTTGCTCAATTTGTTCAAGTGTCGTATCTAATTGGGCATTGCAAACTGGTTATGGACGGCAAGCCCTTTCACACTAGTATTTAATTGAGATTGTTATGAAGGAAGTTTTGTTTACTCTGGCAAATGTGAGGAGGTAACTTCCTTTACGCCTTGGTGACGTTGGCCTGATGCGCCTATGTCCTGGAATGGGACCAACACAAAGGGAGAGGTCAACTTTGAGGTCGACATCGTTGTCCAAGCCGATGTGTTCTTGATTCCTTGTGTTGGAAAATGTGAGGAGGTAACTTCCTTTACGCCTTGGTGACGTTGGCCTGATGTGCCTATGGCCTGGAATGGGACCAACACAAAGGGAGAGATCAACTTTGAGGTCGACATCTTTGTCCATGCCGATGTGTTCTTGATTCCTTGTGTCGGCATTATATTTTGTTTTTTTAGGATATCGACGGCATAGGCTTATCTTCCATGTCATTGTTGTTTAAAAGACTTAATACAAATCGACAAATTTTGAGTACAATGCTTTAATTCCAAACATGAACGTTACAATGGCACCTATTTTATAACAAGCGAAATATATATGTAACTCATATGCAGTGGCGGATCCACATAGGGGCCCGTAGGGGCACGACCCCTATAGAATTTTTTGTAATATAATATATACTAGTACAACGCCCGTGTATTACACGGGTGTTTGCTAATTTTTTTCCTTAAAATCTAAAATTAATGAGAAAAAGTAGTTAAAAATTTAAATACATTTTATTGAAATATATATTATTATATATTTAGTATGACACTGTTTATTTGTGTGACTTACTTGTGTTATATTATAATAATTTTTTAAGATTTTTTAACTTACAACATATAACTACATTAAACATAAATATATCAACTTAGAAATAATTTTATTTTTCTAATAAATTTAAATAAATATTAATACCTCCTATTTTTAATATATGTCGTTTTGAGAAGTTGCACTAATTAAGAATATTTTTTTTGTCAATAATAACCTTATTTAATGAAGATAGAGATGAATGTTTTGAGAAAAAAGTGAAGAGTGAATATGAAAAGACGTAATGCATTTATTGGTTAAATGAGGGTAATAATGGAAAAATATGTATAAAAGATCCAAAACGACATTTATTTGGCAAATAGTTGAAAAAGTTAGAATGACATTTTAAAAAATTAGAGGAAGTATTATTTTTTATTATTATGTAGATAAATATAATTTATTTATTTTATATATACAATATGGCTGTCAAATCGAAGATCATGAAAAGATGATTAATTTGATATATTATATATGTAAAACCGATAAGAAATACAAAAGTTATCAACTTTTAAAATACATTTATAAATCAATAGCTAATTAAAGGAAATAAATCAAAAGTCATGGATATATTAGTCACTTAGTGTCTCACTATGTAAAATTACAGAGTTAAATGGTTATATTAGTACAAGTGATATTAAAATATCTAAGTTAGCTAAATAATATTTATGGAATGACTGAACCTAGATTATTAATTATTAATATATTAATATTATTTGTCCAAACCTAATTACGAAGCATGATATTTCGCCAAGTAGGTTTTCGAAGCACCAAAAGCAGCCACGTAGGCTCAGCGCATTCGGGAATTATATATAGGAGGATATGTTATATGTATAAATGTATTATTATCTTGACATAAAAAATACATGTTATTAATTATTATTCAAAATTATTTCAATATAAAAAAAATAAAAAGAAAATATTTAGAATTATTTAACCTTCAATAGTATGTTATTTTTTAAGTTGTGGAATTTATGTTTATGCTATACTCAACTTCTTGTTTATTTTATTTTTTCTCTCAAAAGTGAAGAAAAAAAAAAAAATTATACATAAATGTATATACTATATAGGGGTTGAAACAAATGTGTCTCTATTCTTAAATGGAATGAGAGACTCAACTCTAGTTATTAAATAAGAAACAAGGTGTTTGGTCAAAAAATTTAATCTTTTTATTATTTTAGTTGGTTAATATTGATTTGGCCGTTGACTTTCAGCGTTGACCGTCGATCGTAGTTTGTGCCCCTGTTGTTTATAAAGTCTGCGTCCGCCCCTGCTCATATGTTAATCCATTAATATCATAAAACAAATACAAAAATTAATATTAATATTCTGAATTATTTTTATACTATTTGACATTCCTATGTTGCTTTAATTTATACCTTTATCATTATTATAAAGTGCATTACATGAGTCATGTACTTGTTCTTTATTTGTAATGTTTGAATAT